TGAGGGTTTTATACACTCATGGTTTTCACATGACTGGAAACATAAGTCACAGTTTAATGCTTCAGAGGACTGAGGCCAGATTTGTTTGGGCTTCTCCAGCCATGAAACACACAAACATAAGACAAACATGGCCGTGGTAACTGCATCATCAACATGCCTTGGTCGTCATTATATCATAAACAGCAGGTGTACTACAGTTCAACATGGTGGAGGATTGAATATATGGCTGATGGCAGCAACATTAACACTTAGAAGTTGTTTGTCAGGTTGTTTATTTCACCCAGCTCGTATGAATAAGAGACACTGACAACATGGAGAGTACTCCATATTTAACCCTAATGTAACTCAATGTAAACAACATAGCGCATATGTGCCTACAGGTATACATGTTACACCGTGTCATCATAATCACCATGAACTCCTCAAAGAAATAGTCTGCATACATGTAGGAATCAGTGTATAAATATATATATATTACAGATTTTTGTCCAGACTTTCTGTACTGAAGGAAATCAACGTCACCGACTACAGTTCACGTCATAAAAATATGTTCCTGGCATTTGTATCAAGCAAATACAAATGTATATTTTATATGTAATGTCTGGCTCAGCAATAATTCTGGAGCATTTTTAATAGTTTTTTTAATGATCAGATCATTTTAAACTCTGGCTCCAATCATTTTCTCAGGCCGTTACCCTTCCTCTTCTTCTTTCTCTTTAAATGTTGTTTGTTCTGTTTCTACAACAGATAGAACACTTCCCCGTGACACGGCCCAGCACCTTGCGTGACTTCCACCTCTGCAGGCTGCTGCCTATCGTGCGTGACTGTCCATCATCATTACTTTCTTGTAAAAACACCAAAGACAGGCCCAGGGAGGGGGGCGTGCAGGAGAAGCTCAGCTTCCCTTTGAGCGCCACATCACCTTTGACCTCTCACAGGAGGGAAGAGATAAACACAAGGGGGGAGACGACCAAGCTTCAGTGACTTTTAATGACAGAGCAGGTTTGGGTTAGAATAGCAAGGCTGTCATCACACGGAGACTAGATAAGACTGGGCCTCCTGAGACCAGGAGAGGAGAAGGTGTAGCCTCTGGTGGTTAGTTTGGCTTGACTTACATACTGTGAGATACAGAGACACAGTGGTGAGATCAGGGCCTAGGCCAACACTGTTATCAAGGGTTTCACCAGGTAAACTGCACTAGGGGGGGAATTGTTCTAGAGCAAATACAATGAACCGAAAAATACAGCAATAAAACATTTAAATGTGAATTTCTTACCTATACACTCAGGTCACTCAGGACTTTGAGTTAAGTTTAAAGAAAGTGAAATCTCCACCAACTTCACTCTGGTTTCATACTTGTTGAGTTAATTTAATTTTATCTATAATTGGTTTTACTCCAGGACAAAACAAATGTCATTTGAATTTACCATTAATGTCTATATTTGTTTTTATATCGTTCTGTTGCTGCAGGGAAACAAATAACATTCTATACTTTAGACTTATGTCCAATTTATGAATGCCTGGAAAAGCAACTTTACAATGAGGATTTCTGTTTGTTGGTTTGATCATATACTGTACATAACGACATGTTCAACAGCTCAACAACAACAAAATTCCTAAAGAGGAGATTACATAAAACACACACAAACAAAAACATAAACCCAGCAGTATCAGCCTGTTGATCAGAGAGACTGTCGCACACTTCTCATTTCTCACAACTGAAGACTTCATTATTTCCCTCTTCTTTTAAACCTGGTCACATTTGAGCTCCTTTTATTTCCCACAGGCCTCTTGTCCGCCCCTTCAACTAGGCCAGTAAAAACAAAGGATGACGACAACAGTTACAAAGATAGACGCTGCAAAGTTGTTTTTTTTCCAAGCCGGCATTGATTTGAAGAAGCGCAGTCATGCGGCTGAACACTTCAAAAGTACTGCAGTACACGCCGAGCCCTGAAAAGGTTCTCCTCTGGTGGACACAGACACAGAAACCCCGACATGCACACTGATTCAGAATTCAGACAAAATGGCCTTTGAGTGTGAGAGTGGCACAGAGACGCCTTCACGGGCGGCTGACTACGCTTCAGCCCAGGGCCTCTGTAGCAGTTGGCCGGACAAAAATAAGGCTACACAGATGACCATAGTCCACTGAGCCCTCGGTTGATGCACAAGGTCATTAGGATACTTGAATCTCTCATTAGCATCGGTCTAAAGGAACTCAGACGGTCAGGGAGGTTTTGGTCAGCAACAGTGACAAACAGAGAAAGCAGAGGATCTGTGGACTTCTGGGTAATACTGGGGTAGCCAGAGGGTGCGGAGGTGCGGGGGCGGGGGGTGAAAGCATTTCGACATTTGGAGTCTGCAGGTCACTCAGTCATAATGAGGTGCTGCTTAACTCTCCCCGACTCATCTCTTGGTTCAACTGTTGTTACAACAACCACAGGGGGGCAGCTCCACTCATCTCTAATGGACAGCAATTACCATCCGTTCCTTCAGTTGTCACCGCTGTGATGAAGCACATTTGCGTAACACATTTAGAACAGCTTAGGGCAGAGAAAGCGTTAGTTCCGTTCCCCTGACATCCTGCTACTGTATATATTTAGGTGTTATGAGAATAAATCACAGTAACGTCTCCTTAACACATCTACGTCCTGTCTGCAGGTTACACAACACCGTTCGAACGTTACGTCATACTCTTTTCAAGAAAAATACTTATGGAAGAACTCTTCAAACGTCCTCATTTCCACTCAGTATCTGATTGAATCATTATCTTCACGCACGGCATCCAGCTTCCTCCTCGAGAGCCAAGAGCTCTGAGGGCCAAACTGGTCCCAGCACAGACTCAACAAGATGTGTCACAGTAATTGTTGTCACTGTTTTACAAGTTGGACGAGATAAGACTGAAGGTTTTACTGTACAAAAACAACCCTGTGTGGCCTTGACATAATTTATACCCAGTCTTTAACTGGAACTGGAAAACTGGAGTGCTTGAGATTCTAGAAAACAACATTGTGTTTACATTCAAACAAAGGTACATCTGATAGTACAGCTCTCTTTGAGCAGTAATCAAACAATCCATCTCCAGTTCTTAGAGCTGAACTAAATGGAGATCTAGTTTCCAAGGAGGCCCCTGGTTTGAACCTACCTTTAGTTCATAAAGCTGGTCTAAAGTTCCTCTTTTTTAACAAAACATCCCTGATGGTAGATCCAATCTTTAGAAAGAAAAAAATATATGTTGTACAAATGAAAGAAGATCAGTATGAATAATTATATTTCTTTTAAATCGTATTTTACATTTTGAAAGTTAAAATTATTAATAAAATTAATTTAATTCTCTATATAGAAAAAAAGTATTTAATTGTAACCGTGTATATACTTGCATTTATTTATTTGAATGTATTACTTATTTTATTTGAAATTAATTAATTAATTCGTTCCCTCACCGATCCCTTTGATAGGACAATTTCGTAACGATACAGCAAGTTGTACATTTTTTAAAATAAATATCTATATTTTATATATTTCTCACCGTTGTGTGTAATATGTGGTTAGTTTATTAGAACTAAAAAAAAACAAAACACAGAAGTCGTACGGAATAAAAATATATTTGCTGTTTTGTTATTAGTAGTGGTATGTTTAATCCTAATCCCCGCGCAATTTCTGTGTCCGTGTGAACTATCATACGTAGCCATTAGCTTTTACTAAATTTAAATCTGTTTATTCTGTTAGCCACGACATGAACGTGATGTGAACACATGTCGCTGTTGACCCTAAACAAAGTCGGTACTGACTCAGAGGTTGACGTCCCTGATCTCCGTCCATCACCGCAGGATCAGAGTCTCTGTCCGAGGTGCTGAAACGACAGGATCCAAACTAAACCAAACAGGATCACCGAAGAACACTGAGGTTACAAAGTCTGATATCAGCAGAAAATATCTGAAATAAATGCACCGGGGATTGCGTTGATTTTAGCGTGAGGAGAAGAGAGAGTGTCGGGAACCTCAGCTGTGGAGTTCGGTAATTCGAGGGACTGATGGTCGACACTGTGGGGTTCATCTCCTCCTGCTGGACTCATGGGAAAAACGCAGGCGGAGTTCGGTGAATTTAATCGACATCCGTGATCGTGACACGTCAACCTAACGGAGGTGAGTCGGTTCAATCACGGCGTTTTTTTTATTAAGATATAATTTAAATTTAAATTAAAAACAATAATATATTTTCATATAAAATGTATATATATTTAATTATTTACATTTGTTATTGTCAAAATTCATTCTTTTTCTTCAAGTTCTTAAGTTTATCAACCTGTTCGTGTTAAACGGCCAAATTAATAAAAAACAATGATTTGTGTTTTAAATAATAAATAAATGAAACAAAAACGCATCTATTTTCCCCCAGAAAAAACAGCATTACATTTAAAATAAATAGATGTCGAACACATTTGCTCGTGTTGATCTAATTAATTAATTCTTCTTTTTAAATACATCATACGAACAATGCCGGGTGGCGTATAACAAAATGTAGGTGTAAATTGTCGAATGTTAGTTAAAACAAAATCTGTAAAAACAACGGATTACAAAAGATTAGCCAATAGTAATAATATTAATAATAATATTATTAATAATAATAATAATAATAATTTGCCTCGTCTATTATTAAACGTGAGACCATGAGGCAAACGTTAGCTGAAAATGTAACTACAAGATGACAAAATACTGAAACGTGACAAATATATAACTAAATATATGGCGACACCAGTTGAACGCTGGATTAAAAATATATATATTAAAATAATAAAAGTTCTTGATTTGTAAAAGAAAAAAAGTGAATCAAAGTTTTGTCTGGAAATTAGTGAAATATATGAACAGAAACAGATCAGAAAGCAAGAATATGTTTGGATGCCATTTCTTATTGGCTTAAATATATAATTTTTTTTAAGGCCGTAATAATAATAATAGATTTACTAGGCATCTACACCGAAGAGCTTTTCGACTGTTGCTGAGGGAGGGAGTGAGAGAAGGCGGAGGAGACGAGGGTGGAGAAGAGGAAGAGGAGGAGGAGGAGGAAGCGGAGGTGACAGCCTCCTGAATGAACCTGCCCACTGGAACGCAAGGCTGTGGCGCAGACTGCTGAGATGCTGCGACGTGTTTCGAAGTGCGCGTGCGCGTGTGTGCATGCGTGTGTGTGAGAGGGAGAGAGGATAAAATGACTTGACTCAGTGCAGAGAGAGTTCACAGCGTGTCCAGGCTGCGGACAGAGCGCAAACCATTTCTGCGACTGTTCCACGGCGCACACCCTGTGGGTTGGTCGTGTACGATTTAAATGAACATTGTAAACTCAATGTTCTGGGAAGAATGGCTCTGGTAGATGAATCGAGGAAACTTGGGTAATTTATTTGAAGCATTAGTGAAATAGAACTTAAATGTCGGATCTTCCATAACCTAAAAGTCCTCTGGCATCTTCTCCTTGCAGGATCTCCGTGACCATGGATGAGACACCTCAGGGGGTTAGAGCTGCGACCACCAGTGCTCTGTTGCTGGGCTGTATAACTCTGCTGCTGTCCCTGCACCTGTGCCGCTGGCTGCGGCAGTGGTCAGTCCCGGGTGTGCCCGGTCCCTTCCCCTGGCCCGTCATCGGGAACGCGTCACAGCTGGGCAAAGCGCCGCACTTGTCTCTGACGCGCATGGCGCAAAAGTACGGCAACGTCTTCCAGATCAAGCTGGGCTGTCGCAGCGTGGTGGTTCTGAACGGGGACTCCATCAAATCGGCCCTGATCAAGCAGGGGAAGGAGTTTGCAGGCAGACCGAATTTTACTTCTTTCCAGTTCGTGGGGAACGGGAACAGCCTGGCGTTCAACACCGTTACGGACTGGTGGAAGCTGCACCGCAGGGCGACCCAGTCCACTGTGCGCATGTTCTCCACGGGGAACCCGCAAACCAAAAAGACTTTTGAGCATCACGTTCTCTGCGAGGTGAAGCAGCTGCTGCAGCTCTTTCTGCTGAAGACCAAGGAGCAGGGCTACTTCCACCCCATGACCTTGTTGGTGGTCTCCACGGCCAACATCATGAGCGCAGTGTGCTTCGGGAAGAGGTACTCCTATGATGACGAGGAGTTTCGACAGGTGGTGGGCAGGAACGACCAGTTCACGGAGACCGTGGGGGCAGGGAGCATCGTGGACGTGATGCCCTGGCTCCAGTACTTCCCTAACCCCGTCAAAACTATGTTTGACAACTTCAAGAGCCTCAACCGGGACTTCAGTCAGTTCATCGGAGAAAAAGTGTTCGAACACAGAAAAACCATCCAGTCCAGTGTCATCAGAGACATAACTGACAGCTTGATACTGGCACTGGACCATCTGAGAGACAAGACAGGGGTTTCGGAGGAGAAGGACATTGTGACATCCACTGTTGGGGACATATTTGGGGCCAGTCAGGACACACTGTCTACTGCACAGCAGTGGATCATGCTCATCCTTGTCAAGTAAGTCACCAGTCATCATTATTTTAAAATCAAGACAAAAACAAAAGGCTGAATCAGAGGTTCGCGGATGTTTGAGGAAACTGTACAAGGTCATAACGATGCATCTGATGAAACATCACATTTTGAAGCCACCTTAGAATGACACAAACTCAGATTCAAAGACAATTCAAAGACTTGGTCATGATTGGTCTGTGAGAACAGAGGGTTCGTCCATGCACCTGTGGTTAAGGCAGTCCTTCTATTAAAAACTAAATAGAGTTTGTGTGCAGTGATGTCATGTGTGATCACCGGGGAGTCAATCTGAGACTAATGGTTCAACTGTTAAATTATTATGAACTGGGAAAACATCAGAATAACTCATCAATATTTTCTGGAAGTTAGGTGTCAACAGAATCAACATCAATTTGATCTGTTAGCCCAAACTATCACATTAACGCCCCCCATGACTTAGGGCAAAGGTCAATTTAAGTTGTGCTTTAACAGCACACATTCAGCAGAAGGATCCAGAGCCGGGCCTCTTGACTGTGAAGAAAGTTATTTTACACTGGAATTCTAATTAAGTTTCCAGTTGTCCCATTATTCAGATCCAAAGTCTGCACAAAGTTTCCTTTTAAATTTCTCATGGAATGTCTGAAGGGTGCAGCGGTCACCGATGTCACCAATTTAAATTGTTAAATGTTTGAAGTCAAAATTAGCAGCAGCGCAGCAACTTTAGCAGGTTGTGGACTAATGTGTGTTTTCTTTAATAAGAGCAGAATAATTGTTGCACAGTTAGACACTTGTATCACTATTTTATTTTAAAAGTCACAAACCTTCACGACCCAAGTCAATAGACATTATTCATAAACTCCTGAGAAACATGATGCGAGACAACCCCAAAAAAATACTCTTGCAACCCACCTGAGGGTCGCGACCCAGTCTTTGGGAAACAATGAAGTAGAGTACTAAATGAAATGAGCCAAAAACGAGTGTAACAAATTGATATCAGTAGCAGCTGATATTTCAGGTTTTATGGAGTATTATGGAGCCATCACAAGAGTCTGGTTTGGAATTCTGGTTTGGGTCTGGTCAGTCAATGATGCGCTGCACTATGTAGTTTAAAAAAAAAAAACTTGCCCTGTCAGATTCACTCTTTTTTTTCTTTTTTTCTCGTTTTTAAACTTGCCCTGTCAGATTCACTCTTTTGTTCTGTGCTGCATTTAAAACTCCGTCTTGAAACTGGCAGACGTCTGACAACAGAAGTCAATCGAAACTGAAGTTGGAACAGTATGCACATGACTTGGCATGAAGTGTGGTCGAGACCAGAAATTGCCCACCACGATGACAGAACTGTGCAAAGGTTTCAGGCAGTTATCAATAATAAGATGTTAGGTCTGATTGGTTCTTTAAAATTAACAGAATACAATGTTGGAGGTAGAGTTGCACATTTTGTAGGACTATAGTTTTGTGTATGGTATCATTAATGACAACAACCTCATGGTAAAGATTATTATATGTAGTTTGAAGCTCCGCTAAGCAGGTACGGAGGTACAGTACAGAACAGAGACGAATATCACATCATCCAGTCATACGCCATGACAGGACGGCAACGAGCTGACGCTAGTTACAGTTTGCTTCTTCATATGAAGTCCAAGGTTTCAAGATGTGTTATAAAAACACTAAAAACAAAAAGGAACATTGTAGCAAATGAAAACCACATCGTGACTACTTCCCTGTTTCAGTGAAAAAATGAAGAAATCCACAGAAGATCTGTGCTTCATTCTTGTTTGTTCGGAACAGCCTACCTCCTCATTTCCTTAAAACCCGGTGCCAGATTAGATGCTGTATTAAGGGAAAATACTGATGGCTTTTGTCAGGGTGAAGAAAGTTATTATCGCACACAAATGCGTTTATTCCAAGTATATCAGAAATAAAAGGCAGATCCTGCTGCATATTCATTGTTAGTTTCTGCTCATCGTCTGTAGCTTTGTTACCAAGACCAGACCATCACATGACTAGTTCACCTGTCTGTGCAGGTACCCTGAGCTGCAGACACGTCTTCAGCAGGGGGTGGCAAAGGTCGTGGCCCGCAGCCAACTCCCGTCCTTCTCCCCCCAGCCACAGCTGCCTTACGTCATGGCCTTCATCTATGAGGTTTTCCGCTTCACAAGCTTCATCCCTCTCACCATCCCCCACTCCACCACCGCAGACACCACGTTAATGGGCTACGCCATACCCAAGGACACAGTCATCTTCATAAACCAGTGGTCCACCAACCACAACCCATCCATTTGGCATCATCCGGACGTCTTTGACCCCGAGCGATTCCTGGACCAACAAGGCGCCTTGAACAAAGACATGACTAGCTCCGTGCTCATCTTCTCTCAGGGAAAGCGGCGATGCGTGGGTGAGGACCTGTCCAAGCTGCAGCTCTTTCTCTTCACGGCCCTTCTCAGCCACCAGTGCCACATCACTGCTAACCCAGCCGTGCCACCCAAGCTGGACTACAACTACGGCCTGACTCTGAAACCTCACACTTTCTTCATAGCCGTGACTCCAAGAGGAGAGACGTCCCTTCTGGACAGAGAGGTCAGCAGCCCAGACCACAACGAGGAGACAACTTCAGACTCACAGACTAAAGTTGACACAGAAACAAATGAAGGACGACACTTTTAACACATGAACTAAAGCATGCTTTTGTGGGCAGAAACTGTATTTATAAGCTGAGATCTATAAATTATTATATATTTTACACATACAGCATAACACTGAGTACTGATCACTGGGATATTGTGTTTTTTTGTATTTCAACAGACACAGATGTCAACACCAACTTTCCACAGGTGACATAAACAGCGGTTCATCTGAGCATTTAACCCAGTCTGACTGAAGAGTTCAGGGATGCAACACAAACTTACTCTACCTTTACAAACTGAAGCTCTACTGCTGCCCAGACAGTATAACACTTATGGCTCACATCCATCTTACAACCAGCAACACAGGATCTTTTCAGCCTGGTCCCCAGTCACATGCAGTGATGGTCAGTTTGAGGGAAAAAGATTAAATTGATTTTTATGCTTAGTTTCTGGTCATTTTTCTATATACACACAGCTGTTACAACCTTTACTCCTCTGACAAAATAATAAGGAAGACAATATTACCATTGCATTTTATATGTAAATAAATACATATAGATATATATATAGTGCAAAATGCCTAGTGCCGATGGTCAGTTTGAGAAAAATCTCATAGTATATATATACTGTATATATATATATATATATAAAAAATGCAGCTATTTCTCTTATCATTTTTATAATTTTTTTTCTCAGGTTAAATTATGGTCTATATGATTTGCTGCTTTTGCCATCATCAGAAATAGACTGCACACCTTCCTACCACGGTTGGGAGTTAGGGTCTACAGGGATTTGAAGCCACGTCCAACTGCACACAAACACGGGACCCTAGCACTATTTTTATTCAAATGGAAATTTTTAGTTCTTGCCACAGAACTGTGCTGGCCCTCATATACTGTACCATGATTTTAGACCTGATCTGGGTCTCAGCTCAAGGGTAAAATTCAGGAGGAATGGAAACATGATTTCACACCATCAGGTGGCTCAACATTCTGAACAACATCTGTAAAATCAGCCGACTTTTGATTTCTGCTCACAGATGAAATGTTGAATAATATTCTCTCACTCTTATGAGGGGAAATGATAAGTACACCGTGTTTTTCCAGACCGTACATAAACAATGTATATCCTAATGTCTACTGATTAAATTGTACTTTTTCAGAAGTGAATCAGAATAAGCTCATTAATATAATTTGTGTAACTGTATAGTTTATATATATTTTTTTTTTTTCAAAGGATTCTGTAGTTTTGTCAGAAAAAATATACGCCCTAACCCTTTAACTGAGAAAATGGCGGAGTGGTTATACGGTCGATATAATGAAATTTAATTCAAAAGTATACTAGCAAAACAAAATGTGTTTTACAATTATTTATGTTATAATTACACTTTGCTTATATTCTACTATAATTGAATTTAATAAAGATGGTTTTATTAGTTAAAACAAAACACTAGTTACAAACTGATGCCTTTGAAACACAGGGCATAAACCGCTGCTAAATGTGCTTGACCTTTAAACCCTTAGGTTCAATTTCATTATAAAGGCTCAGGAGAAAATCATCAACGTATCCACAGGCTCAGAAATATACCACATTGTCATGCTGTATTAAAATGTCCCGTCAAGACCCGCCTTGCTTGGCTAACTACTACTATAATTTCTTTGGCTTTCTGGGTAAAAATGTATTTAAATCAAGCGTAATCCTAAAGCAACGTAGCTCATCTTGCCCTTCCAGATTATCTACCATGCAAGTGAATTCATGGTGAATTTTTTTAGACATTTCCCTATGTATTAAACTGTGTACTGGGTGTATGTATGTATGTATGTATGTATGTATGTATATATATATATAAAGGAACTACAGTTCACATTTTCTTAATGTAAACTGTGGGAGGAAAACAGACATCATTTATAAACAGGGCTCAAACCGGCGATCTTCCTGCTATAAGGCAGGAGCGCTGCACGCGTGGCCCGCGTTAGCCTGGAGAGAAAGGTAAAATATTGCATAAAGTGGTGGTGAGAGAAATCCTGTATCACCACAGCTTAGACCTGACAAGAATGTATTAGCGAGATTAGTGTGAATCTCCGCACGTAAGCCTGCATCCTGTGCAGGACATTCACCAACTCTGTGAGCTGTCGAGAGCAGATTGTGCAATTACAGTGTGAATGGAAGGATACGTGAAGATCAGAATGGAGAAGAGTGCTGGGGAAACACAGCCATGAAATATCACAACATTTAGCTAGACAAAACTCAAACTCCAATGTCGGCTTGATCCTAAAGGCCCCCAGGAGGGTCTGACATATATAAATCTACAGTGAATAAATACATAAACTAAAGTGAAGTGAATTTTTTTTCAGCACTCCTGATTTTGAACTAATGTCAGGCACAGTTCAGGCCACTTGGTGTTAAGTCGACCCTGACTGAAGAGCTGGAGTTAAAAGCTAGATCTTCAACCTATTGAAAAAGTCATCAACAGACGTCCTTGCGTTATCACCAACATCAAAGTCACGACTATCTCCTGAGTTCCATTAAGTCAATGTACATGCACTTTATGTCTCAATGGTCTCCATAGTTTAAATTAAAATGACCCTCCTGGAAATGACCAGAATCAACGGACCAGAAAAGCATCGTCGAGGGAGAATCGACAGATCACAGACAGACAAACAATTACTTCTGTATTATGTCATAAAACTCCCAAAAGTTACTGTTTGCTTCAAGTACACAGCATGGCGTGATTCAGAGGTTGACTGTAGTTATAGTTACTGCACAGATGTTCTGTGAAATTAGTCATATTGATGGCTACGTTTTCAGAGCTATATAAACAAACAACTGTGTTTATTTGGGAGGGAGTATTTAAGTGGTTGGAAAAAATGCTGAAACTTGACTAGACTGGTGACCTGAATCTGATCCAGCAACAGACTCCCAATTGGCCTGGCACAAAAAGTTCCATCTAGGGAAAAGTGAACAGGAACTTTTAAACTCTACAATTATTCACACTCATGCAGGAGCCTGTCACTGCTACATTTTTCTGTCTATCTTAATCAAACAGGGTCCTGGATGGCCGCTACTGTAGCTATGTGTGTTTTGCAAGCACTTTTGGAGACAGCACAAGTTTAGTGAGTGTTTGTGTCAACGTTGTGATGAATTCAAATATAAAACAAATGATGTCATAATCGGAAGACTGTATCTATATAAACTGAGGGGCCATTTTATTAAGTACGGTGCATTAAGGCACATAAGAACATACTACAGTTTAACCAGAGCCAAAACCAGGTATCTCTTTGACGGGCTACTATAAATCCCATCAGTTCCAGTTCCATGGGCAGAATCACCATGGTGATCAGAATCATGGATGTGGAGCCAGCAAATGTTGAGCCACAAGGGGGTGCATTTGTGTCAGGATGGATCAATACATTACATAAATCCACACCGACGAGTAAGACACTAAGTAAATAATCAATCGATGTCCATCTCTTCATCCATCCATCTGTGCTTATTTCTCTGCAGGTTATTTAAGACAGAAAAAAAACTTGGTCAATTCAGAGGATTGAGATGATAATGTATCCAATGAACCTAATCCATCATCATGCTCCTGTTGGAAACCAGAGAACATGGAGTTATCCAATGCACACACAGGGAGAACATGCAAAATCCACACAGAACGACCATCAGTGACAGCCAGGGATTGAACTCCTGACATCAAGAAATGTAAGGCAACCTCACTGTGAGCATAGTGTTAAAATATACTTTTTACCGTTGTGTGACCTTGTCACCAAAGGTCAAAGTGCAGGCCACCAGCACTGCCAGGTAAAAACATTCGTCTTCAACTCTGTCGAATTTTTTTCCCGAAGAAAAACTTCCCGTTTAATCACACCTTACAGATTACACAACCTGTGTGAGATGTTATTCCTCATTATAGCCATAAATTTAGACTGAACATCATCACGGTTGTTTTGCACGCTAGCAGGACAAAGAAAACTGACGACTGCAATCAGGATCTGAAATATTTAATTACAGACTGCAGTTACATTGGTTTTTCAGTGAGTAAACTGCCAACAGTAGAATCTCTATGTAGTGTACCAGAGTTTACATAGCGTGGATAGCTTTTTTTTTTTAAATAAGTTCAGCTTTTGAATAAAGATCATGTAGAAAAATCAGTAAAGTTCAGATTAAAATAACAAAGCAGGCTGTTTTAGAACAAACATAAATACATAGGTAGGAATAAAAATATAGAAAAAAAAAGTCTTCCGAATCAAATCTTAATCAACATGCGTCTATGGGCAGCACAGAGACACGTATCTAAACTACAACCAGGAATGTCACAATTTATAAATCACTGGTGCAGAATTCCCCAACGTCTCCTGGAAAGACCTGGAATGTATCACATCATGCCACACTAATGATCTGTTTGTCACCGTCACTATAGTTTAAATACACAGACATCCATCCATCCATCCACCAGGGGGAAAAGCACATATAACCAAAACAGTTCCAGGTATACAGTATATAGTATTAAAGAAATGGAGAAACGAAAACTAAAAGGCTGTTTTAGACATTTTCCTGAAGGACAACTGACTTGACAATTCAATGTGGACCATAAACAGAAACACCAGTATTCTTTCGCAGCTTGTCTGTGATCAGACCACAGAATCACTTCACAGGCCACTTCGTGCCACCATGGATTAAATACATGAATTTTGTCCAGTGCGTACACATCACTGTTAAACATTTCTCACATTTGTACTTCTTTTAAAATATACATTTAGCACACACTTAAACCCCACTGAACAATGGGTGCGATGATTTAAAATGAATCATTCAAAATAAATGTAAACGTCACTAAAGAAAAAACACGATGATGGCTGAGAACAGCCCGTGATCTGATAACGGGAAAAAATGTTGCTGTTGAAAGGCACAGAAGAACATGAACTCCTTACAGACCAGAACAGACGCCTGAATGTGTGAGCAGGTTGTGTTACAGGGCCTGCATGCAAACACGGCCACTCAGCATCAGCACAGGTTTCTGTGACAGCAGAGTCAAATGGGCAAGAGGTCATCCACTGGTCATGGAACGCTGCAATCTTTGTTTGGGTGTGCGCCATTGTCTGATGTGCTTTTGTTATGTGTGCTGAGACAGACACGCACAGAGAAAAAGGGGTCGGGGGAAAAACAGGACAAAAAGGGAGGGAACAGATAAAGCGCAAACCACTTACAAAAAGGAATACATCCTCCTTTCCAGGAATACACAGCTATCAGACAGAATCTGCTACATCCTGTTGTACCAGGAACTATGAATGGATTCAATTGAAAGAATTATGATGGAGAGAAAAAAAACATCTAGGATTAGAAAATAATTAAATCTTTACAAATTCTCTGCACCAATACACACATATACAGCGCACGCACACACGTAGATGCTCTAATGGCACGTTTTCCTTCGTTTACCTTTCATTGCATTTCATTTCACATGCTGTTAGAAGAAAACCAGGAATAATTGTCTCGCACAGGGAAACATTGGTATGTAGACCTGGGTCGTCAAAGGTCAAAAAAACTGACCTCTCAGTTAGAGACACTCCATTCTTGCTGTAGCTTGACAAGCACCCTTACTTGTCTTGTTATTATCGGGACAATGTTTTGGAACAGATTGTTAAAATCCCACCTCCTTCCACTGAGAGTGAATTCACATTTCCCACACACTAAAAACAAACACGCTGCAGGTGCAACACTGCTGAGCTTCGCTCTCACAGTCCAACAGCTCGGCACAGATTGGGCAAATCCTTCTCAGCCTCTTCATCCTGACAAGAACAAAAACCAATCCAAATATGTGACTATGTGTGAGCAGGTGTTTGGGAAGTTTTACCGTCGCCTCTACCGTCCAGTGAGTTAGATTTTAGCTGATCAGATTTACCAACCAAAAAAATTTCCTAAAATGACCTATACAAATTTTAAGATAATTTAAAAACCCTTTGCAATTATTGATCTGATTCTCTGAGGTTTTACCTTTCCCCAACACAAAAAACATTGGAAAGGAACTCCATTTAATGTCTAAGATGAGAAAAAGGAAGAGGTTGTGACCTGGAATTATATAAAGAAGGAATTCTCTGATGGAAAAAACATATACACAACTTTCAAATGGAAAATATGTAAAGGAATGATCTTTTTTTTATTTTTATACGATACAAATGTTTTTCTCTTTTTTTTTTTCTCTGTTCTCAGTCTGGAAACTTTTTGACGTACCCTTATATTCCAAAACATTATATAATGCCTATCTATATTATATAATATTATGGGTGCTTACCTCTTTACAGGCATTATCCATTGTACTTGCAGCTTCACACATCTGTGCTGCTTTTTCCATCTGCCCAATGTCTCTGTAGCACTGCCAAAGACAAGCATTAGGTAAAGAGTACAGTTTGTGGCAGTAGGTTCCACCTGAGCACTTCTGTGGTACTAACCTGAGCTAGGTAGATGTAGTTGGCTTTAGAATATGTTGGGTGAATCTCTTCAGCCTTCAGGACAAGCACAAATGGGAAAAAATGATTTAATTTAAAGGCCAGGAACAAAAAATATACAGATTTACAGTGGAAAGTTGGCGAAGCTAAATGATTTGAGCACAATAAGGAGGTAAAACATCCTTCAGACCAACACTGAAACGTCAACTTTGAATTGTTACCTTCAGAAAATAATTTAGCGCCTCTTCAACCGTAGCACTCGGAGGTTCTCCAAACAGAGTGGTCGCCACTTTCCTTTCGATCCACGTTAACTGAGCAACCTGTGAGTAATTAGCATACCTTTAGCATCACAGGTGCAAATTACTTTAAGAAGGAATGAACACCAAAGTCTTCCACTGTTTCTTTCACATGCGAGTTTTGGTTGGGTGTGGTCAGAAATGTGTTTTGGTGAAGTTGTACTTCAATGAAATAAGGTGGGGAAAAAAATTGAAAATTGGTGGAGGACCAAGAAGTGAAGATGTTTCTGTAAAAAATGACAGCAGTCTACAACGTCTAACAAATATTATTATGATGTGGCTTATTTCAGTTTTTTTTTTGGCTTTCTCAGCTAACACTTAACTAGAGCTGCAATTTTGAGCCAATTGTGAATTCTTGTTTAAGTTTCACAATGTGTTGAGTGTCTATTTTGCATGGTTTGGTTAATTAAAATGGCACTTTCATTGACATTCATTTATCTTACTGGATAGATAAGTAAAGCTGAATATTTCTGATCCTCTGTGATGTTTCTATGACCACAGGTCCACTGTGCACTGACACTGACACCCTTTCTCTCAGAATGACAACAGGCAGCAGAGGCCTGGGTCAAACATGTAATGTTCCTGCCTCACACCTTTCATCAGCGTTATGTCTAATTACAGGTGTAGTGTTGCTTTGGCGTCATAACAGGACATTTCAAACAGAACCGCTGCCTGAATGCAAACAGTAAATCATTGTTAAACATGAATGCAACACAGCGAGGCTTGTAAAAACTCAGGTCTGTGAAAATATCAGGTGTTAACGCGCCACTAAATTTTCACAGTAACTGGCTGCTGCTGTGGCACTAATACAGGATCATTATGAGCTTCCTTTTTTTATTATTCATAATGATAGGTTTCTGTCGAGGAACTTAAATATGACAACTGACAGATCACTGAGGAACGGACACACTGACCAACTGAACATCTGCATCATTTAATCTCAAAGACAATAAAAAATGTCCAAATGCTACCTGAAATTTAATACCTGAAACTAACAATAAGCTAATGAAAAAAAACACACAATTTCAGACCAAGTAGAGGACACCAGTTGTGGGGGTTAATAGAGTTCATACAGGTGTAAAGACTGATGGGAGTCAATCACTTACTCTGTAGCACCAGCGGCCCAGCAGGTAATAGGACGAAGGGTCTTGTGGCTTCAGCTCAATGGACTTAGTCACGTGATCCTAGGAGGTGGAGGCAGAGAGTCAATCTTTAGTGTTGATTCATGACCTCTCTGTGATTCCCGCTGCCTGCTGTTCTGTCGTGATCTGTCCTGCTTCACCAACCCACAAGTATTTCACAAACATCTCTCATACACGCGATCCTGCCGGGCAAGCTCACTCTTCTTGGTGTCACGCATGTCATCCTCCCTCCCTCATTCTTTTCCATTCCCCCTCTCTGTTTCACTTATTTCTAAAAATACGACATATAGATACTGCTCTTTGTCTACTTCACATTTAGAGAGGTCGGAGGTCAATGGCCAAACCGTTTACATGATAGTTTCAAACACCAAACCAACTCACCTTGAACAGATACCCGTTCTTTATCCTGTTCTGTATCGTGTCGTACTCTGCCATTAATCCACATGCGATGGCATACCTGTGTGAGGTGAGCACAATACAACGTCAACAGAACTGTTATATTTACCTACAAATGCCACAAGTAAACAAGCGCTCATTCGTTTGTGGTTCAAGAAGTTGAGACCAAATGAACTGACATTTACAAAAACAAGAGCCTGATGAGGTCACAGAAACTAGGAGTAGTATCCCTGGCAGTTGCTGAATACATTTCTTTTTATTTTGGGTTTAGATATTTTTAAACCTTAAAACTGTACAAACAACAACATGGTGTGAATGACAGGGTAATTGTAACGCAGCGCGTTTAATTAAGCAGAGATTATTCTGACATTTTAAACCAGCATATTGACAAGGCTGAAGGGAAGAGGACAAAGGACAAGTATGCAGTAATTCTCACGTAATGTTTATAACAAAAAAGAGCACAAAGCTTCCTCACTCTCTTGTGCAGAAACTGGAAATGCAGTTTGAATGTCGCCACATTTGGGTACAATTTTTTTTTTTTTTATTTGGATCCTTGTCAACACAAGCAGTATGAGCCTAACCACAACAAAAAAAACTATGGCAAAAAAATCTCTACTGCACTACTGTGCCACAAATGATCATCTACCTTTGAGTAAGGTATCTCTAAAAAGTGTAACAACATCACAAAGACTCTTTCTAGGTCACAAACTATAAATTGGCGTAGCGTGACGGAGGAACCCCAGGATTAGAGGTTTTGAACAAGGGTCCTCATTAGGGCACATCAGCTGAAGCTGTCTGCTACACCTTATCAGCCATCTCTCCTACTATTGTTAGATTATACCCAGTGACTTGGACCATTGGACAGGTGGTAAACAGGAGACGCTCTTAACATTGGGATCTGAACAAAAGCCAGCATGTCGGCGAGGGTTTGAAGAGGAGAGTGCTGATCAAAGTCTTTTTACTGCGCAAGGCTGGTTTAATCCTGCTGGTACTGTGTCAAACACCATGAAGTTACGTAAACACTGTTGTATTTAAAGCACATGGGTCATCTGACATGGAGGTGCTGGGGTACGTGTTCAGTGACAAGCTAATTTTTTGTAAGATTCTTCTGCAATATAAAGGCTGGTCCTAGAAGGCCTCTAGAATCATATAAAAACCCTGTCAAAAACCGCGTTTGATGTCATGTTGGAGTCACTTTCTGCATAGTTAATATGACTGATCAGAAATGTACTGTTAAACCATTAAAAAACAACATCACAGCTATGTTTTTGTTGTGCCAAAAGCTGGCACTGGTTGGGTAGAGAGCTCCACAGCAGCCCAGGAGCAGAATTCTTATCCGCCTCCTGTTGTGCTGTGTTTCCAATGAACACAAGCGTCTGGATGTTAAAGCTCTGAGCAAATCCACCAGTGATGACTACAGAGAGTATCTGCTGAAAGGGAACAGAGACAGCATATATTTAGTCTTGAAGTGGCCTCTACATTTTAATCCTGCTTTCATCTCACATATAAATAGTGAGAGTTGTTCACAGTAGCCAGTTGTTCCACGACGTGTCTGCAGGATTCGGTTTAATTAAAGCAACAATGGATAAGACATTCTTTCTAAAAGAAATGAAATAGGATAGGGACAGGTGTTGAGTACCTGTCAAAGTGTAACAGTTAGTGGACATCTGCCTAATTAAATAAACAAGTCATATTTAGCAACACTCCACTGTAGAGATTTAGATCATCACCACCACAAGAGGGGGTTCACTTGGGTCCTCCTTATTCCGAGAACAGGATTCTGTATAGTCATTGGCACAGCTTTTACTTTCAGAAGCGGAGAGAGAACATTTGGACCTGGGATTGACCCTGTGGATAAATCATCACTGGGCCAATCGCTATGGCTCTATGGCTGCTTTTCTCTAACCACCAGACCACCACAACTGCATTTAAAATATTTGTTCATCACTTAATCCTGAAGGAAATCAGATTCTTCTGAGAAGCACAAGAAGGAGTCCAAGTACCAGTAACAGCACCATAGTTTGAAACCACTACTCCGTTTCAGTGTTTAAGATGTCAATATTTGAACATATATCAGTGCAGTGAGTTTTCTAAAATAAACCCCTGCTGGACAGCAGTTGTACTGCAAATTAAGACTAATTTCTGATTGACTACAAATATTAAATAAATAAATAATATTAAATAATATAAATATATTAAATATATTAAATAATATTATATATTAAGCCAGACCATCTATTATTTAGAGCAAACTGTTTCGCCACTATGTGATGTGTTAGTATAGTTGTGTTAGGATTTCATGCCCAAGTCTTTTTTTAATTAAATATCAGGAAGTATTATTAAAGTCTAGCCTACTTGGCTACTTTTGGGCATATTCTGTTTGGTAAAACAGGGACTAGTCAGTGAAATAAACCTACAGGCTGGTAAGTTTTCACCGGTGATATGATGGGGAGCTATAAAGATTTCTAAAATGGTAGCAAAGGTAACAAAATTAACTAACTGAAATCTTGAGCAGAAATATACTAGATTTGAATTCATTCACATTCACATTAAATAAACAACAACTTTTCCTGCTCTAAATAAACTGAGAAAATCCACTTCCGTTTCTCTCTCCTTCTGTGAATAATTTGTTATGGTCTACAATAGTGCATGTTAGTAGTGGCTTCAGTAATCTTTGGGGATTTTTACTAACCTGCTTAAAAGCACACTGTAAAACAAGGATATGATTAAGTGCAATCAAGGCTGAGAAGAACAAAAATGAACATTTCTCAGGTGAAGGCTGAGGCAGAGATTTCTCAACAACAAACAGGTTACCGCAAGACATATTTTTACTCAGCTCTGATTGGCTCTCTGTAACATTATTCAGCATGTGGCAACTCTCAAAGTGCTCCCTGCCAGGTATGTAAACCTAGCAGTGCTAATGGCGTAGCTACTCATCAATGAGCAGCTTATAATAGTCTTGGCTCACATCGGCATCTGGACTTTCCCCTGTTGGCTTAGACTTGGTGGAGTTGGCACTTGTTTTTCCACCTCCTGTTTTTCACCCTGAGTATTCTATGTATATAATTTACGAAAGGATCAAAGAGAGAGTTTTTTCTTCATGCTGGTGACGAGGTACATGTTTTTTGTTTGTATGAATCATGCGTTGTGTTCAAGTTGACCAGGGCTTTAACGGAGAGACAGAGGCAGGTGCGGACAGCAGTTAGGGAAGGGTGCGAATCCGAAAAAGTGATGTGAAGCTGCAGAGAGGCGTGTTTGGCCTCGGGGGCCAACTTGCCGCTGTTAATCCTTTCCTTTTTTCTCTGAATTGAAATACTATCTCTGCCTGACTGTTGAGGGCAAGGAAATATCAAGAGAAAGTAAAGAGAGGTAGGTGGGAGCAGAACATGACAGGAGGGAATATGAGAGACAGGCAGAACACCGAGTTGTGCAAGGGTAGTCCAGGTTTGTACTGCAGCTCAGTAAATCTTCCATGCTAGACAGAGCAAAAACATTTTTTTTCAAGTGATTTCAGTGCTTAGATATAGCTTTCCTCGTGTTAAAGGCTCCCAAAGAGCTGAGCGCTCGAGGTACAGCACTCTTTTCACTTCCACAGGGAACACGGCCTAATGCTGCCACGGTGATGCCAATGTGGCAAACAAAGGCACGAGTTCAAAATGAAAGCCATCCTGGTTGAGGGCGAAGTGAAGCCCTTTTCTGTTTCCTCTGTCTGCTCAGCTTCAGTCTGTCTGCCCTAATCCATGGGCCATTGTACCATCAGAGAGGCCCACCAGCCAGGGATTTACATCTACTGAATTCTCATGAAGCGATAAGTGAAAACACACCTAAAGACACTGCCCACCACACAGGAGCCAATCACATCGTCCAATCATAGCCCTGTCAAAATTAACAGGTTTCGCACTTGCTCTACGATATTAAAAACACCTCACGTATGAGCACAGATGATAGATTAGATGAGAGAAAATACAGTGAAGCCCCCGGAAAAGAGCAGATGTGGCAGTTCAGTAGTTTTAATTCACTATTTAGAGACACACCTCCTTACACATTTCCTGGCAGTCCTATTGTGTTTCATTACTAGTTTAAGGACTTCCTTTTATAGAACATAATGGGAGGATTTGTCAAAGGTTGGCATTCTTCATGTCACACCGTTCTTGAAATTTCACAGTTTCAATAAGTGCCATCAACCAGACTGCAGGTCCTGGACGATCCAGTGTCCATGACATCTACAGTACCTGCAGGCTTCCCCCCCCAGGTCTCAGTCTGTGTTTAGTGAATGCACACAAAAACACATTGTACATCCTGTTGGTGACAAATTTCCTTTCTTCCTGCAGAAGAGGCTTGCATTATTCATTATGCGTGCACTCTGTATTTAGTTACATCCCCGACTGGTCCTGCCAGGAATAGATACAGTAGGGCAGGTTGGGTTTGTTGGGATGGTCCAAATGCTCTAACAGCAAGTTTGTCACTTCATAATCTGAGTGACAGTGCATCAGGTTACTAAAGTTCACCGCAAGGTAGGAAATCAACTTTTTATTTCAACTTTTTATTTCAACTATTTATTATATAATAATGAACTGTAAACTCTTTCTGGCTCTAGATACAGTTATGGCTTAAAGCTAATAATTTTACCCGTAGCCATCTTTTTGGCTAATGTTAAGCAGCTTTAAACTATTGTTAAAACATATTATATGTGCTTTTTTTGTTTAATACAATTTTACAATTTGTTTATTAATCATGCAAGATTTATTGAACAATGTAGATGCTTTTTTTGACTTGCTTTTATATACAGTAATGGCTAACTGTTAACTAGTGCTAAATTTTAGTCATCTCTGTAGTGAACATGCAGCTATTTCTAGCAGATTTTAGAGGCATTCCTAAAAATGTCCTGCATCATGTGTACTTTTCCAGACCTCTTTAAGTGTCTTAAAAACCACAGTTTACAACAACCGACCGCAGCAGCTAGTGGATTTTTTTTTTAGATGGGGGATTAATGCCGTGACTACAGGATTTCTTAAATCTAGTGTGTAAGACCTTATCGTATTTATTGATTTTTACCAAATATGTGAAATTGTTTCAAGACTCATTACTTTCACAGAAGGTCTCAATGCACTGATTTTGTGTTTGTGGCAAAGCTGAAACCTGCAGTCAAACTAAACAGCCCTTGTCATTATGTGACAGTCTGGGTGGCTTTCAAGGAAACAGGTGACACGTTTATTTCAATGCATTTAATCACTAAGTAAACAGTTGCCTCGGGCTTAACCCTCTCTGACTTAAACCTCCCTGAAACTGCCTGGCACCACCCCCACTCCTTGCCTCCTCCCTTCTTTAAGTGCGGCTTTACCTACTCTGCCCTGTCCATTCAACTTAAGACAGTGTTTCTGCTCGGTTTAAGACCCTTACAAATTCCATTAGTGGATACAGGATTAGGGATAAAGCTTTTTTAAAGCTGTTGCTCTTAATTAACTAAACAAACATGGCCTTTTATTCTACCTGACATCTTGAGTTTTGAGGTATGTGTTTGACCTAAGACCATTATCCTCTAATAAACAAAGCAAACAGGGGCTTTGGCTCCAGCAGAGAGTTAGGGCCTCATTTCCAAAAAAAAGGACACAAACGCAGACAGAGATAAAGAAGATAAAGCAACCTCATGATCCAAGAAGAAGAATTTTGGTGTTGAAACGTAATTCACTTATTTCACATTTGTAAATGCATTTATATGATGTTCTCAGAGCAAACAGTCAGAGTTAGTTGTAGGAGTTAGAGCCCTGTTCTATTGCCTCAGACTGACTGAATTAGTTACTGGGTGGTCTGACTGAAACTCCCACACAAGCAGCGTGACCTTAGTATTGCTATATTATTAGCAAACATGTTAGTGCCCGATGCCAGCGTTGAATATGTGACGATGCAACTTCCTGCAGAACCAAAAACTGCAATACTGAGACAACATTAATTACACACGCTACCAC